ATAATGCCCAACACAAGACAACAAATACAAAAACACAAAAAGAACTTGACCTGGCTAAAGTCCCATTTTGGTAGCTCGGCGCGAAGTAGAAGAAGAAGTCAGCCGGCTAAACATTTCAATTTTAATTAAGCATGATAAATGATTTCACTTGGACGCATAAATCTTTTTTACAGTCGCGATGAAACAATGAAGTTCCTTTGTTTTCCCCCAAAAACTCGCAGCGAGCAACCCGCGAGCCGCTCTTTATTTTATTTTTCCCGTCTTGTTTTGTTTGTTTGGCTCAGAGGAGATAAGGGCCGAAGCTGTGAAGAAAATTGATTTGAAATTAATGCAAGAATTTGTTATAGAAAAAATAAACAAGCTCGCGTTTGAATCGATCGTGTGGTGGAAAATAAAAGCTGTTAAGGCCTGCGATTTGAATTGATTTCGTTTAAAGAAATGAACCATAGATTGGATTTCTTAAATATGCACGATTCCGAGCCGTCTCGAATTGGAGAAAAATCGTCACAAACGAGCGTTTCAACAAACGGCAAACAGATCTTGTCTCAATTGTCAGGGAGATGAAACAAATGTTTTTCGAAAAATGTTTTCGGTTCGCTTAAGATAAGAGCTGCATCACTTAACTAAAGTTAATGATGTCGACGACAGACTTTTGGATAACGAATAACGGACAGGGCTAAAGTAGATCACATTTTAAAAGGTTTAATATAAAATCATTAACTTGTTAAGCATTCCAAATGAAAATATAGGCACTTCATTGTATTTAAATTAAATGCATTAATGTAGTGAGTATTTTACTTGGGTGCTTTTAGCTTGATTTGTGACTAATATTTCTCTTTATTTAGTAAGTTATAAGTTAATTTAGAACACTTGCTTAGCTTTTACTTTACTCTACAAATTTTTGTTTAACTAGTAAATCATTAAATGAAAATAAATCATATATATTTTAACAGAAGTTTTTATATCTAAATGAACCTTAAGTGGCTTACATATAAATATTTATTGTTTTATTCATCTGTATGCTTGTATAATCACTCCGCCTTACATACTTCGAACATAAACTGAAATCATTTGATTTTAATGGTAATGGCACTTCCTCAGCAGCACATCTTTTAACCCATTAAAGACTATAGACAGACATTTTTTTAAAGCTTACTAAAAATCCTTAAAAATTTGGGAAGAGCTTAAATTAACTATAAACTATTTACATTTAAATGTACCTTTTTCAAATACATCCATTTCAAGTTACAACCATGAGGGGCAGAATTATTAATATTAAAAATTTCCTTTACTTATTTAATCTTCTTATATTTATATTCAGAGTTTTCGCGAGTTTTATCGATCCCTTTTATTTAAAGTAATCATGTTAACCCACAGATTACCTGTGGCTTTCATGGGGTTAAGGCAAAAGTCCTCGTTCTGGTTTCTCCTGCTATGCAGACTGACTGCTGTGCGATGCTGAGTAGCCATAAGTGCTAATAAATTGTAATACAAATACATTAAAACTAAAGACTAATTAAATGACTGTACTTAAGCGACTCGAGGCAACGGCGAGCTGAGTTAATCACCGCTGGAGGCTGCTATCCGCAATCCGCGATCCGCGATTCCGCATCTGGAATCCGAGATCTGAAATCCGACCACTGGGCAAATCTCTGGTGACTTGCTGGCGCAATCCCTCCCCGACTGTGTTTGTGTGCTCCGTTTTCCCTGGACAACGTTTCTTTTTCTGTATTTTTATTTTTTTTTTTGCTCAGAGAAAACCTTTTGTGGTCATTAATTCGCACTTAATATGCTTTTTATGGCCAGCCGTTTCATTTTGTTTTGGAACGGTGCGAGGTTATGTGTGCAAAACAATTATTCCGCAATTAAACAGTTTGCACTTTGCTGAGATACAGAGAGAGATCCAGTCCAGTTCGGAGCTAAGCTCATGGACAGTCTTACATATTAATGAAGTCCCCATTCCCATTCAGGGGAGTCGAGTCCAGAGATGGCAGCGTGACTGGGATTCCGAGGATCATTCAGTGATTTAATGGTTAAAAATATTATATAAATCGGTTTTGTGCAGAGGTATTTTTTAGTTATTTTATTATACCTTTGCAGAGTATTATAATTTGAATCAGAAGCTTCAAAAGTAGTAAAGGAGTCATTTCCGACCCTATAAATTATATATATTCTTGATCAGAATCAATAGCTGAATCGATCTAGCCATGTCCGGTCGAAAAATAAATTTTTTAAAATTTTTCCGAAAATTGAAAATTTCATAAGGGGTTACATCATTAAAATTGCCAAAATTTGACAAAAAATTGAATTTTTTGAAATTTGAAAACTGAGTATGCAGCTTTGTTAATCTACTAAAAACTAGCATAGAACAGCCCTCCGAATTAAAATTAATGATTTTTTGGCTTAGTTATGAGTTTTTTTAAACTATGATTTATCGAAAAAATATTCATATAAAAATCTCGTTAAATATTGATTTAAAGAATCGATTTCTGATTCGAAGCTTTATTTCAATTGTGAACTTGAAGGGTATATTAACTTGGGTTTCCAGAGGATAGTTTTCCTTCTTATTTTATAGTTTTCTATTAATTATTTAGTTTAAAAATACTGTATAGTTGTTTACACGGTGTTTACCTTTTATATATTTATTTTTGTAAAATTCATTTAGTTGTTAATATTTATTTTTCAATGTACTTATTTATTTGTAAATTTCGTACATGCAATATAATATATCCCACTGAATTTTGTTAAGGAGTTTTATACATTTTCTCTGAATATATTTACCATCCCTAGCTTTGAGTCTTAATTCGAACAAATCACTTAAGCGGCACCGCAGGCAAATGACCACCAAGAGTACAGTAAAAGCACGCCAGCGGCGATGGCGACAATGCGTCGACTGCTTTTTCTAGTTGGCCATATCGAACGCACCAAGGGAGTGTTAAATATGTTGCATTCCCCTGCGGATACGCCCCCTTTTCCTGCCCCCTTTTCCTGCCCCTGTCCGTGTCCCTGTTCCTGCCCCTTCAGCTGCCATCAGTTCTAATTACTGCGACTAAGGACTGGCCTGATTGCACTCTAGGCCCACTGATGGTCATCTTGGCCAAGTCCGCGAATGCTACGTTTTGCTTCTTTATTATAATTATTTTGTTTGGTTTTTTCTTTTCGCGAGTGCCAGTGTGTGGCAATTATTCACTTAAATCATCGGGAGGCATCCGAGTGTCATGCTGAGTTGCAGTCACAGGGCAAAATCCAGGGCCAGCAACGGGAGCACAACAACATGGGGTTAAACGATAATGCACTGCAAAAAATGCTCACTAAAATATTGTAAATAAATTATTATTTGACAGGAGATTATATTAATTAAAAAGATTAGGGGAATGAGCTGATTACTTCCAGAATATTATGTTGAAAAGCAATCAAAATACAAGCTATGGATATTGACTCATTTAATATAATGTATAAATTAAAATAAATCAAAGAACGAAGCATTACCAAACCCGAAATTCTATTAAATAGATTCCTAATCTACTTTAATCGTAATAATATTGCATTAATTCATGCATTACCTTAATTTTAAGCTTGCTTTAGTCAGGATATCACCTAAACTGCAACCTAATTCCAAGATAATCTAATTTTTTGGCCCAAGTTTCGCCTAAAATACGCACAATTTGTTCTATTAATAAAGCAATTCCAAAACGATTAAGAGCCGCAAAGTGACCACAAGACAGAGAATGCCGCCATAAAGCGGCTCGATGATGGGCAGAAACTCATTTGGACATTTATAGCCGACAAGATGAGTGGTCACAATGCAGCAGCTTTTACGAGGGGAGAGTATGGCCGAGTAAGTTGGGCCAAAACCGAGGCAAAACCGAGTTATAAATCACTTTGTTGCGGTTGTTGCCCAGGAGTGGGGCGGGAGTGGTGGATAGGAGGATGGGAGGATGGGAGGACGCTTTCCTTTTCCCGACGGCGCCATAAATTTAATTTGAAATTAATTTTTTTCCGCTGCTACCAGAAAGGAGGCTGCCGCCTGCCAGCTAGTCGGGTCATCAAAATGCTAAGCTATGTAAATGATAAGCACAATGTGGCCAATGCCAGTTCCAGCCAAGTAAATCCGGCAAAGGCCTCTGTTTGGCCAAGTTAACATTTTGTCCCCGTACCGAGGAGTCAGCCTTTGGCTTATTTTTGCACGCCAACTAAATATGGTAAGGCACGCATTTGTTGTAAAATGCAAAATTGAATATTGAGTGCAGCCCGGGGAGCAGCCACTCTACCAAGGAGTTGCAATTGCTTTAGAGGAATGGAGGAGATGGAGACCCCTTTGTAATTATGAGCAATGCACTCGATAAAAATTGAAGTTTTCATTTCGCGAAAGTTTTTCACCAGCACCACAGAGCCAGAAATGGCTGAAAGGAGCCAAGAGGCACAACAGTAGCTCCCAAAGAAAAAAAAAAAACAACAAGCGAGCCAAACATTTATTGTTCTCCCGTTAAGGCAAAAAGCGAGGCTCTTGGCCCAAAACTCTTCCCAGATCCCCAGCGACCGCAAGGGCATGCGAACTAAATTTCATACAATTATGAGACCAAAACAAGAAGCAGCTCAAACGCAGGATACTCGACAATATAGATACCCCTGGAGACAGTATTCTTTAAGTTATAGTATGTAAATTATTCAGAAATCTAAATCTATTGGAAGGAAACTAAAATTCAGAGAAAATACATAATGAATTATGTTTACCTTTTTTGCTAATAAAGATTGCTTAATATTTTACGATTGTTTGGCATTAATTGGTTGTTTTTAAAAGCTGTAAAGTTTATGGAATTCCCAAAACGTTATTACAAGTATTCTAAAATTGAAAATAAAAAAATGTTATGGGAAAGTATACATTTATTTAAGTAGTTTCCTCATAGGTAATATTTTACTCAAATTATTTTGTGGAAATTTTAAATTTTAAATACTTTGATTGTTATCTTTTTAATCTTTTCTTTTCGACCTTGTTGCAGCATCCCCTCTGCTACCTCGTTTAGCATTTGGTATAGACGAAACCGACAACAGAGCTCATAAAACGAAGTTGCAAACGGTAGCAGAAAACCGCAACAAAACAATCGAGCTGCATGTGGGAGGTCCTGTTTTGGGCCATAATGACAACCGCATTGGAGACCACCAGGTGAGTTGCATGCAAATTCAGTCCCGATCCCGCCTCTGGATCGCTCCTTCCCCCTCCCCCGGGAAAATGCAGGCGACAAACTTACGAATTGCTCATGTCAATGGTCGCTGGAGAGTTTTGGGGTTTTTTGTGGGTGGGTGGTTGGTGGGTTAAACTTGACTACACACAGAAGCGCCAGAGAGCGATCATAATCTATGGGAAGCTGGGAACCATGGCCAGGAAGTTTTTGGCAATGTTCGCCTAGCTGCCGGTTTTTTTGCTTGCTTTTTTTATATGCTGATTGGCATTAATAATGGATTATCACGATCAGTGGACTGGGACTCGGGGTGTATGGAAATATCGCTCTATGGGAAGTGTGAGTATATCTGCACTTGAAGAATTTAATTATTTAGCAATGAATGAATAAGATTTTGGATAGATAACAAGGGAATGAATGAATGTGTGAATGTGAATGAATGTAAAGTTCTTATTTTAGATTGAGTTGACAAGCAGTATACTTAAAAATCATTAAGATTTTCTGCTAATTAGGCTCTTTAGTTAAAGTTTTTCCAGTGTTTGCAGTAGCGGGGGTGAATGTTCCAGAGCAAAACTCTCTCATCATCCTTTTGGAACCTCTGTTTTCGGCAGTGTTCATATCGTGCGATCATCAAATAATGTGAACGTGTGATCAACGCTTGCAATAAGGGGGATAAGAGGGGATATGGGATGCTGGGCCTCGTGTGTTACACTAACTTATTTATGCGAAATATTTTGGAATCGTGTTTGGAGTGCAGCGTGCGCTTCTCGTCGTCGCCTTTTTCCTCGGACAGGGAAGGACCGATGGTCCCCTCACTCTTTTATCGGTCGACATGCAGAAGACTTCAGTTGCAGCTTCAGTTTTTCAGTTTTTTTTTGGGGAGCCTCAACTTTAGCATCGTCTTCCTTGGCCGCAAACAACGTGACCCTCTTTTTGCGCCTGCAGATCACGAATTATTCAGAATTTCTTTTTCAAGCCTCCTATAACCTTGCGAGGTGGGTTAGGGTATGGCAACTTTGTTGCCCATCTTCGACAAATCTGAGCAGTGAAAGGATATGAGTATATATTGTATATAATAACCACCAGAGAAAAATATTTTAAAATACTTTCAGGCAATTTAAATTATATTCTTTGTAACATTGGTTATATGTAAAGATTGACAGTAATCAGAAATATTCATACTTCCTACTGAGAATATCCATATTCGGCTATAACTTCTTTCTTTCGAGTTAACTCGATTTCGTTATTTGCGCTTCAGCTTCTGCTTTGCTTTGCTTATGCATTTTATAAACATTTTAAGCATCGCCGGCAAAACGCTCTCGGCCGCCTTATGAGTCATGTGAAAGCGTCCAGATGATGAGGAGCGTCCAGGAGAATCCGAGGGTTCGGTGCAGGGGACAGCGAGCGAGATTCCCGGCGATTGTGAAAATTATGTTTGAGTTTTGAAGCTCACAAGACGTTCTACACGTTCTTCGCTCCTCACCGAGGATGGTGGATACTGGCCACGGGCCTTGGATGCGCTGTGGCAGGTTCATGTGGCGGTGAAAGGCTACCATCATCAGCTCACCGCCGACCTAATCATCATTGGCCATTGTTATTAACATGATTATCTGCATTAAGTTTCGGGCCCCGGAGACCAGGTTGAAAGTTCAGGCGGCGTTTAAGCATGATTATGAATTGGGTCAACATGTGGCCAGACGGACGGACAGATGATCGGTAAATGCAATGTGATGTGCTGTTCAATTATGCCAAGCCAAGCATTTCGCAAATGCGTTTAGCCCCAAAAAAAAACAACAACCAAGACATTGGCCTGGAAGACACAGGTTGCTGGGACTCTGTTGAGAGAGACCTGCCAGGGAAAATGCAATGAAAATGAGACATATCGCAATGCTTAAGTCTCCTTATGGGTCGCAAGCGATTGACAAGTGACAGGACGAACAGACACAGCGGCCCTTGTACTCCCTCTATCTCTATAAGGAAATGTCCAGTCACTGTGAGAATAGAAACTAATGGGAAGGTATTTAAATATATTAATACATTCAATATTAATTAAGAAAGAGCTAGAAAATGTGGGAGAGGGATTAAAATTGCTTCAACTCTTCTAGATGAAAGTTTAGTAAAAGTTTGTATTCCCTTAAAGCAGTTTTAAGTGCAATTCCCTTTTAAAAATATACTTTTTTGTGGTATGTTGACTTCTTCTCTATGATTTCTCTCCGTGTTTTACTGAAATCTCAGTGCAGAAATCGTGTTTGGCTATTGATGCGGCTTATTATATGCAAATTTGGCCCAAAACAAACCGCAGAAGCAGAGCCCCCAAAGCGAGTGCTGACCATAAAGAAGAGAATGTCAACCGAGGATGGGGATTTCTCCATGGAGTTCTGATCCTTTCCCTGGAGCTCCCAAAGGGGAGACTGCCAGAGCCTGCGTAAATTCACAAAATATTGACACCGCCGCAACTTGAGGGCCAAAAGCCAGTGACAGTGATCGAAATGTGTCTTTGGTCTAGGCAACCAAATGGTGGAATGGTGGAATGGTGGAAGACTAGCAGCCAGGAACCTGGATTCTCGGCCAGAAACTGAACCCCGAGCGAGATGTTGTCGCTCCGCCAGGCCAGAATAGCTAACTTTGGCAGCCGCCACAAACAATTGCGGGCGGTTTGTTTGTGACGTTTGCTTAACAAGAAGAAAATTGCTGCAATTCTTTACAAGTTTTTTGAGACTTGCATCCCAGATTGTGGGCTCCAGCGTTCCCATGTTGTGTCCATGTCCCAAGACTCGCTCCTGCGATGCGTTCGCCATGCGTTTGTCATGCCAAAAGTGTAGTAAATTGTGTGGCACTTAAGTCAACACATGGCTCCCAGGAAGGGGGGATTGTTAAGGCCAATTTGCATGTGGGGGCCACATTGCGCTCTATTTTGACTTTGACTTTGATAGATGTGACCAGGTTGGCTTTTGTTTAGCGGTGCAGATCCAAGATATACAACAAGAAATACGACACGCTAGGGATTTGGTTCAGTTGGGATAAATAAGAAGAAGGCCTTTTCTGTAAGTCACTGCAAATACGCAGTAAGCCACGTTCGTAAAACCCTTTTTCGGCTTGACCTCGACCTCCTCCTTGCTCATTATCATTCGAAATGAATGCAAATCGGCGGCATTAACCTTACATCCTTGGGCGCAATTAAGTCCGTTCCCTCCCCCCACGGTCTTGCATCTTCCTAAAACTTATCAGGAACTTCGAGGCTTATCACGCCGCCACACTCTCACTTACTTTGCTATATATACTAACTACACTGCGGGATCGAGTGCCTGGCACAAATTTGCAATTATAATTTGCGCCTAGTCGCTCTTCTTGCTTTTGCTTCTCTTTAGTTTTCCCGTGGCGGCGTTTTCCTTTTGGCCAGACTCGAATTTTTCCCCCCATAGTCGCCGCCGCGATTTAATCTCCCTTGGCCATAGCCGCAGAGCCTCGTCTCAGACCCCAGCTTGCAGTTCAACAATTGAATTTTAAGCTCGGACTCGAACTGGCGGAGCTGTGTGGATCTTTCTGGGGTCCTTTTGCATGTCTGCGGCGATGTTGGCCGGCTTTGGGGGCATTTCTCTAAGGCCGCCACAAGCGCGGCTAATTGGATTTCTCTCCTGGGAGAGCTGCTCGCCGGAGCCCCGAGACTACGTAAAACATATCGATAATGTCTTGATCAGACAGCCAGTCCGGTCCACTAGGATGCCCCCTCCCGGTACTTCCCCCTTTTGGCGGTCTGCTGGCAACTTTGTTTGGCTGTGGCCAAATTGTAATAGTAAAGCACACTGGGAGAAATAGTTTCTAGATGAGAAGTAAAAGTGCAGGGCCTTGAAGAAAGTTTAAATATAAATAGTTAAATATTTGGTAGGATAAGTGCATTTAATACAATTATTTAGGCATTCAGATTAGCAAGAATGTGCATCTAAAACTATATATATATATGGTGTTTGTTTTTTTTTTTATTTTTTTATTCTAATTTTATTTACAAGTTTGCGTACAATGAAAGAGGCAATTAAACGTTTATTTTTCATAAAAATATCAAATATATCAAGACTTCTTGGGGTCATATAATGGTCAACTTAGTTATGATCGATTATCAATTCGATAAAATCCTTGAAATACCTCTTTCCATATCCATATTTTCTCTCTGTGCACTTCATAGTACTTGCATGTGTAGTTTTTCCAGCATCAGATGAATGATTTTGCCAGGTTGGCCGATGAGGAACGCGTGTAAAGCTGCAATTAATTTGTACTACAAAAGGAAAAATAACAAAAACAAAAAACAAAAACTGTGCCCGCTTCCTTGGGCTTTGTTCTCCGTTTTCCTTGCGTTTTCGGGATGCGTGGCCATCTCCTTGGATCCAAGCCGTCTGTGGCCAACAGAGGTTACAAAGCAATTATAAGGCCCGAACCCATGGCCAGAGTCCGCGGTCTGTTATAATTCTCTTAGCATATGAGGAGCACCCGGGAGGAAGACCTCGGCCCAGAGATGATCTCTCATGTGGCCGCGACACGACGACCTCTATGAATATTGCTCGCCGCCAGTCGACCCGGGAATAAATTCGCAAAACAAAATAAAACAAGAAATACAGAGATCCAAGAGAAGGTTCAATCCAAAGATCCAGCTCTGAATCCGATTCCTGGCTTTTTGGGGTTGAGCTCTCGAGCGCACTTTTTTGTAATCTACGCTATAATCATGCACTGAGTAAATTCGCATAGCCGCCCATTATTCCACCCACTTTTGGTTTTTTTTTTTTTTTTTTGATTTTGTTTACTCCTTTTTTTGTGGGTTTTTTGGGCTTTGGGTGCAAAGCCAAGCATTCAATTTTGCAGTTGGTATTGCCGTTGTAATGGGTATCAAATGGGTATATTGATTTGTAGATTAGGTTAGGGAAGAGATAAATAAATAATAAAATAATAATTATGAATGAGTAGCAATAATTTTGAACTTA